TTTCTCTTTATTTAGTTATTTCATTAAGGTTATGTACACGTTTTGAAAATTTTAGTATAATAAATAATTTTAGTTACAAAAATATTTACTTTAAAAATATTAATATGCATATTTCCAGAGATTTGTATAGCGACTTCCAATGAGGTTTTACAAACACTCAAAACTTTTCTGGGAAAAAGAGCTTCAAATTTCACATTTACATTAACGGTTAAACGCAATTTTCTTTAAAAACAGTTTAAATTTTTCAATGAAAATTGCCATTTAAAACGAAGTTCATCTATAATATTCTTAACTTCTATACTCTTTCTAATTTCTATACTCTTCCATAATATTCTTAAAGTAATTTTTCTGCTCTACTATTAAGAAACGAAACAAATTGATAAAATGTCAAAAATTGTACTTTAATCGGCGGTAGATGGCAGCCGGCAAAAACAATGTGGCAAGTCCGAATAGCTAGTCCAGACCAAATACTACTAATACGGGAAAGTCTTTGCCATTATGTAGCACCAGTAGTTACTTTCTCGCGACTTCTAACGCAGTATAGAGGACGTTAAGTAATAGTGCCGAGAAAAATCAGCTAATTTTTGACAGAAAAACTCTGTTGCCGAGCCCTGGTAACGAGAAAGAAGATAAATGCAGTAGCTAAAAACTGAAAATATTCTCCAACACGTGGTATCCACATGCTTGTGGGTCCTTGATACCGAAAAATAGATTGACGGCAAAAAGTATGTCCGTCAGTTTGTGAATAAACGCTAGCCCCTGACCTGATCAGTCGATTTTCTCCAAAATTGTAATTTCTCGATCGTTCTGGTTAGTGTCGCGACCTTGAATTTGAAACCAATATCTTCATTTTGCGGAGTACTTTACATGAAGCACCAGGGACATTTTCAAAATTTTCACAAAAATGGCTCTAAATGTTTCTATTAAATTTTGTTGTTGGATAGTGTGAAGGACTTTTAAGAAACAGATGGTCTTATTTTCGTTCAAATTGCTGATTTTTCGATAATTGCAAAATTTAATTTTTTTTCGCCGACTCCTACAATTACGAAGATAATTGTTTTTTCATAATGAAATGTGTTCATCAAAACAAGTATTTAAATAAAGCCACGTTAATTTTTCGAAAATAAGAGTACTTTTTGCGAAATTTGGCGTCAAACAGGATATTTTTTAAATTGTATTCAATTATTTTCTCAGAAGCAGCTATTTTTTTGTCTTTAATTTGTTTCGGTAAAGATGGTGGTACTGGTCCCAGTTTTTACGCACTCTTTACTTTCAAAAATTGGAAAAAATTCGAGATGGCAAAGTCGAATTTCTCGCAGTTGTTTTGTCACTGTCACTCCAACGAGAATGTAATTTGAAAAGTGCTTGGAGGCTGTCAATCGAATCTTGAAAATAAATATTACGTTTAATATTATTTAATCTTTAAATATATTTTAAATTGCTTTTATTTGTCATTTGAGTTATATGTGAAAACGAATATATCATTTCGCTCTGCATAAGATGTGGGAATGACGAGTAATTCGTGTAAAAGCGAGTACTTTTAATTAATATAACTATATTTAATTTTTCAATGTTTCTATCCAATTTATATTTGTCGTTACCGGAATCCAGAATGCTGATTTGCAAAATGTGTATCTCACACGAATTAGCGCTCATAGTTACTTGCAACTCATTGCTCCAACGCTAATAGAAGGCGATATTGACGGCCGCCGTTGGTTCGCATTACAAACTAATAATTTTATTTACGGCTTAAATACGCATCGCGCGTCGTTGGTACATTAATGTAAAACGTGAATACATTGAATTCAAGGGCTGAAGGCAGTTTTTGTTTAAATGTTTGAATTAAAAAAATATATGTATGCATTTTCCACGCTTCGTTTCTTTAAACATTTTCCAAATGGTAGTTGAAGTGTCATACAGAAATTGTCATTATTATAACTAATAAGCTGCAGATTTCTGCCTATTAGTTTTTTTTCCCTTCAATATAAAACAATATTTTGTGTTACTTATTCATTTTAAGGCACTTAAAACTAAGGACTATTCAACATGAGGATTAAAACAAGATCTTGAAATATGTAGATGAAAATGTCTGAATTTCATTAAATTGCAAATGTTCAACTTTTTGTTGTGTTGAGAAGTTTTGAGATTATCTCTGAGGCTGGTGGTGTAGGATAATGGTGTGCTAACTCTAAAAGACTGAGTTCAGCAGAGAGAGAAAAAATCGCTGGTTGGAAACACTTTTGCATGGTCTTGTAGTACTATAATATTGTGTTGCCATTACAGATAAAGTCAGAAAGTATGTGCAGTTTTAGCACCAATAGTTCATAAAGCAATCTACCTTTATTTCATCTTTTTCTATCAAATCTATTTTTATTTCATTCTCATGATACAAAATATTCCATTACTAGACCAGAGCTTCAATTGCAACAAACATATACAATCACAATTTAAGTTAAAATCAATCAGTAAAAAAAAAAAAGAATAATATAATTACACCATGTCGCAATGATTACAAACTTAATATTCTAAATATAAATATTAACCAAAATAACAGTATTCTGTTGAGATAGCTTTTTGTATAATTGTATAATTTACAAAACCTTTAAAGTAACCAAATTTCTTCATAAAAGTTGTGGTCAGATAAAGTTTGTGTTTATTTTTTTTAGCGAGAACTCTAAAATGTTGTTCAACTTTTTTTTGAAAAGATTTGGACTTCCACTGAGACCATATTCATGTTATTTTAAAAAGAAGGAACCAATTTCTGAAATAATTTTTGAGTTTTCATTGACACTTGTGTAGTGTGTCATTCAAAATTGAACATTTGCATTAATATAAAGTAAAGGCTGCAATTGAAATCCAAAATAATACTGCAAATTATTTTGAAAATACTAAATGTATTGTAATGTTCAGAAACACCAAATATATTCAAATGGATAGGAGAATCTGCTAACATTCAAAATGAAATTTTTATTCATAACAAATGTTATCCTATGCTCTATACTTGACATAATAAAAAAAATAAAAAAAAAGAATTTGTACTCATAGCATTTTGTGCCAGGGCATGTATTTTATGAATTTTGTATGCCATAATTCAACTTCTGAGTACTATCTGAACACTGATAGTTCTTGATAGAAAGTAGTTTACAGAACTAGTTGTTGAACTACCATGACTGACATACTCAGAAGTTTGTGCAAGACCTTCACAAATAAGTGGCTTGAAATTTGACAAGCATGAAGTTTCTTGTCAACTCAAAACTGTTCCATCGTGACTCCTTTTCTTTTCTCTCAAAACTGGGAAAAAACTGAAGAATTTCAAACTCCTATCCGCACAATAGTGTAAAAGCAATGACCAAGCACTGCAATGTACACGTGTCCTTTTGTTACTCAATGCAGCATCCCCTAAAACTTTGTTGCAGTAATAATTTCACATACAGTAGAACCCATATTTAATGCCACCGCAGGGGGCCTAAAATTTTTATGTTAAATGGGAGTTTACACTAAATGGGGGTTTGTGGTATTCTTTGAAAAACTAAGTTAAAAAAGTTAAGTTAATTAATAAGTTAAACGAATTAGCAATTTTATTTTTAAAATATGCCCAATTTTTATCATAGAGGTCATCCATAAATTACATAGCACTAGAGGCAAAGGAAGACATTTTAGGCAGTGTTACACTGCTTTACATAGGGGTATTGAATTGAATTGAATTGAATTGAATTGAATTGAATTGATGCCTTATTTTACGTGGCCAGACTCAGGCCATGAGGCCTGCTCTTCCGTCTGACCACGCAAATTTCGCAACGCTCCTTTCATCAACTACAAAGAAAGAAGGTATTTCTTGGGCGAGAAATAGGCAATTTGAATTTAGCTCAGAGGCGTCATTTAGGCTTGAGGATCTTTTACATGCAAGTAAATATACTAACATGGGACAGCCGGCTTTACTTCCCCTCCAAAGGAAGGCATACGAAGGATTTTTTCACCCTTAAAAATCCAGGGGGGTAAGGTGCCATGATTTAGTATTATGTAATGCTGATATTTATTTTTAAAAGATTTTAACATTTGTTGAAATAATTCCTTTTATTCAGTCTTGTGCTAAAAAATTAAATGACGAAGTTAATTTTTTCATTGAATCTGTTAAATATGAAGAAAATATTTTTCTAAAATATCCAATTACATTGAAACAGTAGACTTGCATCCCATGGGTCATCCACATCCAACAGTGGTGTGTGCATGCTTATGTTTTACCTTACAGAAATTTTCTCGGCTAAGCGCTCTTCCTTCAAAAATTGTCCCCGATCTTTTGTTGATGCAGTGCACATCGCCAACTAATTCAGACTTTTATTGTCATAAATTTAAATATACAGCACAAACAAAATTAAGACACTCATTGTTTCTACTCTGTAATTTCTTTTTACTTATTGTAAATTATGAGGAGGGGAGGATTCTTGTTGCAAGTATTATATGTGGTTAACTGGGTGGGAGGGGGGATTCAAGTGCACATTACAGATGCAGTACAAGGGGGAGAGGAGGGAATTCAAAATACTGTAAATTTGTGTTATGTAATTTATGGACAGTCCCAAACACATTTAAATCACAATATTATCTTACAGTCTCTCTGCGAAATTAATATGGATGAAGGACACTCCTGCTACATAACAATATGATTCAAAACAGCAAACTTCGTATAACACCACCTTAATACGGATGTCGTTGCAGCAGTTAATGGTTGTTAATACACTACAAGTGGCTGCAGTGCATGACTGATGGCATCAGATGATATATTTGGTAACAGTTCCCACTTCTTGGAGGAAAAATGAAAAAAATGAAAATCCTAAAATTTTTAATTTTAAATGAAAATTGTGCATGAAAGCTAATGATATAATTGCATATAGACATTGTTGGACTTTCAGAAATTGAACATTTTCTGCATTTAATGTTAATCAGGGTTCTACTATCTATCTTTCTTTCATCATGTACTGAACATGTGACAATGTGATACTTACCACAGTCTGGGCACATTATTTTTACAGAATAGGAAATGAAGACTATATATACTATAAATAAAACAAAATAATAATTTAAGCAAGACAAAGAATGAAACAGGAATGCACACTCGTATTTCACTTCAGTCCTGGTTATCAAAAAATGTACTCTTGTTACCTGTGTAATAAATTTATTGAGACAGCCCAATCAGTACAGAGTCTCAGTCTTAGTAGAAACATTTTAAGATAGATAACGGAGGTCCTTTGTCTTTTTATCTCTTCCTTCACAAACTATAACAAAGAGTTCAACAATATACATGCCTAGCTTTTCTTTCTGCACGTTGGTGGAGAACAATTATCTGAAATGTCAAAGCATAAAGTGATGCAATCCCTTTCATGACGCTCCACTCTATGAAAGGAGGATGTATACTTTTTCTCTGAGACCTTACTTGTGAAGGACATACACAGCAGTGAGACAGGCCAGAGGGTTAACTTTGCTACTGGGTTCAGCAGTAGCAAAAAGTTAATGTGCTGCAAAGAAGTGTCCATGTTAATGACTAGAAACAAGTTAGGGAGATGCAGTATTACATCCACAACAACGGTGCAACAATCCACAGCTCAATATTAAGTCACCAGGGAGTTCTGGTCCAGTGTACAAATTGAAGCTGTCAAAGCACATGATAACACATGCAACTGCCATGGAGAACAGAAAGTTCCAAAGAGTAGAGTAATTTATTTACAGATAAACTTTCAGAAATCCTGTATTTACTCGTGTGATACTTGAATTAACAGGGCATTTCATGAATCAATTTGACAGCCTATGTACATCTATTTACAACCATTAGCTGATGACTAGCCTCTTCACCATTGCTGTTGAATATCTCACCCTTTCAGGGTGTACAGCACAAAGACACAAACATTGTCTACTGTTCTATGAATTAGTGTAATAGTTCATAATTCAGTAATACATCACAATTTACTTTCTCTTCCATTTAATGTACAGAAACCAAATAGGATTTCCCTCTGTATGATGCTTATTAACGGCACTGACTGCTTATAATTAGCTTATAATAAATATAAGCACAATTAGCTAGTGATATTAACACTGCAGCTGGAAACTAGAGAAAGCAACAGGAAAGAAAGGCGCACATCATAGCAAATCAAGGACATAGAACAGCTTGGCAGATACAGATGCCTTTCAAATCCCTGTGATATCATCACACGAGTATAGACAGCAGAGTTTTGTAATTCAGACAAGCAATGTAGAGCAACTATGCCTTAGAAATATGACAGTTAATCCAAGTAGCATACGTAAACCGACATCAAAGCATTTAAAAGGTACCCTACAATACATATCTATTTCGAGTACAATATTACAAGTTTTTACAGAGTAATTTACAGAACAGGGGGGTAGGTGAAAAAGGTTGATGGCAATGCTCAACCATCCAAAGGTCCATTTATCTCAAGAAGTAGCTGTTCATGGTAATGGCGGCAGTGCATCACAACCATAGTTGCAAGCTCCTTGATCCGAGCATACGGTTGCTCATGTTGAATGATCTCTTCCAAGAGCTGCAGGCCTCCTTCTGCCTCCACCAAAGAACAGTACTTTTTTGCTACAACAAATACGAGAGACAGCATTAGTTCCGGTGTTTTAACTATTTTACTTTCTCACATACTACTTATAAAGAAAATATTGTAATGATGCAGAGAAATGTGGCAATTTTTCCACAGAAAAACTCTCATTAAGGGTCCCAAATAAACACAAATCTGAGTTTGTTACGCTATGCATTCATAATTCCTTCAGATTCAGCCAGCCTTCATGTTGCTCTTTAAGTATGTTTCGTGAATGTTCATTCCCGCCTGAGATACAGTATAAAAATCTGGGGAAACACTAAATTCCACCCACAAGATTCTTGTAGACTTCACTTTATTAAGCTAGGAATTTTACCATTGCTATGCCTCTTACTTTAAGACAGAAATCTTTGAAAACAAAAACTTACTCAAGGGCAGGAACATATTTCTAACCATAACAGATGTCTATAACTATAATACTTGACATAGAAATCATATCCATCAAGCATCAGTATTAACAGCTCACAACAAAAAATTCACATACAATCTACGTTCATTATTTTACAACCCACTGCCAGATGACTTTAAACAATTAAAATTGATACACAAGTTTAAACGCTGAGTAAAACCTTTTCTGCTACATAACTGTTTCTACACAAATACTGAGCATCAAAAAAGAAAATAATATTAATTTTAACAATGATATTGAATGTATTAATTACCTTTTGGACCATCTGTATAATTCTATAAGTCTAATATGCTTATAACAAGTATTGTACCTCAACTTCTGGGTCAATGACCCCATCTCGGTCAGATTTTTTGTCCTAACCCTTTGAGTAAATGCTGAGATGCCCCCTTGTAATTGTCTTTCAGTAATGTAGATATCAAATAATAGTTTTCCACTTCATCATGGCAGTGAGTCCATTCCTTTACATAAAGCACTAGGTATAATCGTCTAAATCTGTAGCCGATTGCCTTTACAAATAGTTTTCATTATATGGGAGTGAATATTTTCATATCAATTCAACTGAATACATAAACGAGTTAGAACAGATATTCTAGGTCTCACGAAATCATACACATATTGCACTTATCTCGTAGTACGTCACAGTTTTTAACGTTTTTTTGGTGTTAAGTAAATAGATACCAAAAAAGTGGATAATTATTGCTCATTTATGTATTACATTACATCCTTTCATGTATTGTGCAGTCAGAAACCACATTTATGGGTCCTTGATACTGAAAAATAAGTTTACGGCAAAACAAATGTCCATTTTGATTTGTGGCAAATTGTCACATTTCAACATTGTGTCAAGAAAATAGCTCCAAACATTTTCTAGAATAGAACAACTTTGCACATTTTTTATAAGCAGACCTGAATTTTCTGTGAACAACAGTTGATTAATACAGTAAATTCTCATTAGCAGCAACATGAATTTTGCTGTAACTTTGACATAATTTGAGCCCCAACAAGAACAAGAAAACCAATTATTTTGGCCCCTTGGAATTTGTGTTATCAAGGGTTTCTGGTATAATGAATAAATTTTGCACTACCCCCAAAAACTCAAATAATGGATGACTGTAATTAATGTCATTAAATATAATTTTTCTATGAGAATAGGAAAATATTCAGATTTACGATTGCTGAGAGCCTAGATTATGCTACTTACGATATACTCGAGTAAGGTTAGCTAATGCCCATACTGCCCAATGTTGGCACTCAGGTGTATGGTAGATGCGAGCCAAATACAAAATTGGCTCAAAGGATCTAAAAAACAAACAAACATACACATCATTTTAATAATGTGAAATAAACTGAACTAATGTACTTGTATAGCTAAAATCAAAAATAAATAAAATTTTCAATTAAGTCTAAAAAGGTCCTATGAACATAATTTAGGAATTTTAGAGATATTGAGAGCCAAATTCAAACACTTTCATGTGTTATTTTGGTCACTCAACATCAATTTATTGATTTTTTTATCCTCAGGGTTTATGAAGTGATGTACCACAAAGTTCAGTTAACTAAGATGGTAGCAAATACAGAAGCTAATTTAGCAATCAAACTGAACACAAAAGTGGTGAGTGGTGAGTGGTGAGTGGTGAGTGGTGTACAGTGCCCCTGGACAAGGCGAAGGAAAATCACTCTGATATTGATTTGCTATTTACACTTCTTAATCGTGATTTTGAAGTTAGTAACCTCATACTTTATGAATTATGAGTTCATGAATTCCTTACAGACACTGCACATATTTTTGTCCACAGTCTATCATTTATTACATCCTTTTCCGGCAAATAGGTCTTAAGCTTACAAAACTTAATGGTTTTGATGTAGTAATGCAATAACTATGTAAATATTAAACACAATTACCTTACATTTTGACAAGGCAATTACCTTACAAGTCATCAAGAGGTAATTCAATGTAAGAAAATTAATTATATATACACTACTACAGGTGCCTTTCGGAACTGTCAAAGTTTTAACAAGACCACAATTTCTGATATAACAGTGGACCTGAATGAAAAATCAAGACCCCCTTTGAAGAGACCATTTTCTAAAAAGACAAGCACTGAGGTACAGAGGTTCAAAATAAGTTAAGATATTATATTTTTAGTAATGCCATAATTTTCCACCGCCAGTCATGAAAATCTGGCCAGGCAATGCTGTGCCAAGATGTGACTGCCCAGGTCATGCTGGGCCAGAATTATACTTAAGGCCTATTCTGATCTCACCATCTTTTCCTAGGTCTTTTCACACTGCATTTTGCCCAGTGATACTTGATAGCATGTTTAAGAATCCTTTCTGGTGGATGATACATACTGTACAATAGGAATGTTAAGGACATGCTCTCACCATTTTACTTTACAGTGGAATAGCGTTTTTGGTAATTGATTGCATCCCATGTTCATCCCTTATTTCTTCATTTCAGTTTTAGTAATCTCTAGAGCAATCTTCAGCTGACCCAAGAAACTATATTTCTGAGGCTTATAGTTATTTTCGGTCTGTATTTCTAACCATTTAAGTTTTTGCTCCTTATAGTAAAGTGTGAACTGTCATAACATTCTAAAATCTTAATTGTGTTTCATTCGTTGTACTTCCCTTCATTGTTTAATGACGCCACATATTTGTTGAAAAGTATTAAACCTTGTGTAAACCCTTATCTTCTTCATAACACAATTTAGATACTGGAAATGATACTGGTGTTATTGGTTTGTTATTTACAATTATATTTGTTCTTATTGGGTGGATACCTGAAAAAGTCTGTTTTATATTTTGCTCTTGATATTTTCTTGTTTTATGTCATGTTTAATGAACTAAGCCTACGTAATGGAATTGCAATAACTGTCACTGCCTTGTATGACTACTTGATCAGCGAAAAGCAAGGCTTAATTTATAGGGTTATTCAAAAGAATTAACTTATTTCCAAGCTTTATTACTCAGTGCTGTGAATCTTTTTAAAACGAGTCATATGATATTCTAATGAGCAAGTTTCTAAGTTTTGAATTATTGCTAATAGAGTGTTCAATGTCATGCTCTAGATAAAGTGGAAGAGGACTAGAATAACATGAAGGGTTCTCTCATACATATCTCTTGTTAATCAATCATTAGTTCTCACAACCTTCACGGCGGATCAAGCAGTAATATATCGATACAACCCATTATGAATATTCGAATGGCTGCAACCCAAATTTGTCTATTTTGTGTTTCTGCTACCAGTAGAATGCATATTAGTTGGAAAAACATTTGCAAAACTTATTAATGATAAGATATATATTCGAGGAAACAGTTCATTATTTTTGTACTTAGAAGCACTATATTATATTTGTGTTTTCTAGTTTTATATCAGGAAGGTATTTTTGTGTTAAACATTTCCATTTTGTTACATTAGTTTATAATAAAAAGGAATGTTAAACATAAAACAGTTTCTTGGCATGTGCATCCTCAGCAAAAAAAGTTACAAGAAGAAACTTTTAAACTTCTTTGTTTCATTATAAAATTAGGATTATTTTAGTTAAATACTAGTAACAAGCGTATATCAAGAAAAAAGGATAGCTATTACACTTCTATTTGGAAAAAAATTGCACACAATCCACAATCAAGTAGAAACTACAGTTCAAGCTTTCATGCCTCAAATATTCCCTGCAAGATGACAAGTGTCAGGCTGACTGAAAAGTGTGCATGAGATTAGTTGAAAACTGGTGACCAAGATTGCCAAGTGTTTGCAGTGTTTGCATTTCTTAATTCTGAGATTGCAATTATCATCTTTGAGATTCAGCAAAAATTCAGTAGAATTATTAATTATTACAACCACAAAGTATTAAAAACGGGTAACAACAAATGTTAGCTTTTGTCAGATTAACATTTAAATTTAGTGATCAGCTTTTATTCACCTGTAGTTGATATTCCTCTCTGTGTTCAAATCCCAATGCTCAATGGCAGCTACCATCCGCTGAAGAACATCTTCACGACGAGGAGATGACAGAGTCCACGCACCAGGGCCATCAGATGCCATGTGTGACAGCACTCCAGCAGCATTGTAACTCACCTGGCAGGAAGGTACACACATGAACAATGGTAAAATATTCGAAAGCTTTTTATCTCTAAGAACTGATTATGAACATATTTCTGCCAAATATTAATTTTATTCCAATATGAATTTATTTTGTGATCAGGTTCTTTATTGGAGTGTGTTATACTATTAATACAACAATGGAGAATGATAGAGAATAAAATTTACTTATTTAATAATGCCACTACACCTGTCAGTGGCACAAATTCAGAGGATGCTTAGCATGCACTGCATCTACGATATTCTTAATGTTTATTCTTTCACATCAGTATTTACACAAAATTCAATAATTACTTTCACGTTTACTCAGGTTAGGCTGCATGTACAAATGGAAAATGCAAGCACATTGATATTAGTGTGTGCACAGACTCCAATGAATATATTATACTACAATTTATTTAGAGCTTCATTTGACTGATCATCAGCTATTACAGTGTCATCCAACCGTGAGCTTACACATCACCACAGAGATGTCACTATAGTGATGTTCAGCCTTCCTATTGGATGGCACAGTAACAGCTGATTTACATCAACTGACCTTATGTTTAAATTCAAGTATAGAGGTACCCTGCACATTCAAAGAACTATTTAGTGGTTATGAGAGAGAGAGGGTCAGACACTTGATTTTAACGTAAGAAAAGCTTCCTTATCGAGTGCATGGTGTTGTGATGGAAGACAAGGAAGGCAATGGCAGAGACATCATCTGGCAATACATTTTTTTTTTTAAGTTGCTAATTTACAAATATAAAAATGTAGTCCAATGTTGAGACAAAAAAGATTTTAGATACCTCTTTATATTCTCCTTAAAATATATTCCTATTTATATTTTCATAAATAGCACATCAAATCTATCGTTCAGGCATGATCAGACAAAGGGCTCCAAACCATTACTTGAGTTGTGTGACTGCCCCCTCCCCCTCATACCCTGGGATTCCCCAAGTTTTGATGTGGCACTTGATTCAAGACAGGGTGACAGAATTCCTGGTGAGCTGATGGTTCACAGAAAATTCTACTTGGGGGGGGCTATAGCTTTGGTTTGAGCCATTCTGTATGACTGTAATTGACATGACAAATGCCATTATCATTGTATGACCCACTGGAAAAACTGGCTTTTTATAAAGTGGAAAAATCAGACAACATTTTAAATCATCATTTCAATTGGTTGGGCGGCAGCCAATATTTTTAAAAAAGTATTTAGCTTAATGATAAAAATAAAATCAGGTGTGTGGAATACAATTATGATAGGATGTGGAATACGACCAAGAAATGGTTCCACCACTAATTTCACTTATAGTGAGTTATTATAATCAGCATTTCTTTCTTTCCAATTTTTTCACATAAAATAATGGTTTTAGAAACAGGGGTGGATTTAGCCAACACTGCTTATTCGTTACTCACAAGCTGCCATTGACTGGCCCAAATTATATCATTGAATGCTTTTGACTCGATTTCATGCTCCGCCACTGAGGCCAGTAAGCCCAGTACGGTCATGAAGTGATTAAGATATGAATTTACCTCGATTCCATCGCTGCTAGAATCAAGTAATGTTGCAAATACTGTAACAAAATGGCTGGTCATGAGACGCGGCCTAAGCTTCTTCACTTCTGCTACATTTCCCAGCAGTCCCATCATGTTGCGCAGAAGTTCCTCTTTTTCGGGAAAAGTCTGCAAATTAAATAGATTGGTTACTCTTACAAATACTTTAATTCTAACTGCAATTCAAATTTCCATGGATGCTATTCCTTTCACTCAACAAGTCTCTTCAACCCTTTTTGGGCCCAAACTTCCATAATTGAAGTAAACCTCAGTTAAGTTATGTGTCATTTGTCTTGTAACATCACTGTCAGTCTTTTCCCATCACCCAGAGGCTCTGTGCCGTTAGTAACTGGTGTTCCCAGACAGTCGCCCACCCAGAAATATGTGATGTCTCAAATTACCCAACTTCCGTGACTTCACAGAGCATAGTAAAGAAATTCAAATAATGGTACCTTCCAATTGATCAGTGAAACAAATCAACATCTACATTCTCTATGATTTTGCAAGAGCTTGATGTTCATATTTTCACATACTTTTAAATCTACTTATCTTTTTAATTATGACAGCATATTATAACAGACAACCAATACCAATACTTTTAAGATTCATGGATAATGAAAAAACATTGATGTAGTAAAATAGAGGGAAACAAATTCTTAATGTTACACTGTTACAAAATAAGTTCAAATACTTACGCTAAGGCAACTAAGAAAGTACTCCATTCCTCGCCCATCAAGAAACCTTTGGCAATTGATTGCAGTCTCATCAGTAACATTCCACATTGTAGACCATGCTACTTCCAGTACATCATCACACACTTTCCTATTAAGTCTGTCTTCTATTAATGATAACATTTTCTGCAATCAATAAGGACATACAATATTTGAACTGTGAATTAAAAATTATAAATATTATGCTATTAACCTAACAAGAGTACTTACACTAACTGCTCCCAAATCCCCCAACAGTTTCTTTTGAACACCGTCCACCTGGCAGGCCAATGTGTTCAACAGGAAAATCCCAATGCGTTGTACAAAACCTTCTTGCTCCATTTCAGATACAATGTGCAAGAGGATTTGCACTAGTCGCTCGTAGTCAAACAACTGAATGAAAAAGCTAGTATTAGATTATTTTTATATATTTTTTCACAAAACCTAAAACCTTTAAACAATATCACTAACAAAACACTCAAACGATATACAATAAGGTTACAATAGTACAGTTCAATAATACAAATGGGTTGCACTACGAATTCGCAGGCATGAGCCAAAGATAAGAACATTAGGAGCAACTGCTTCTCAAAACAGAAAGCATTGTGCAACTTCTTAATAATTAGCAAACCTAAATGTTCAAGTAATAAATTCACACATAATTTCATCTCCCAATTCAGAGAATTATATATTCAATTTATTTATAAATGATAATTTTTCAATTACTTCCAACAAAATAATAAAAATCTAATGGTTCAATTATTATTAATTTTAATTTTGAAATTAGACAAAAACAAAAAAAAAAAAAAAAAACTAAATTCACCTAAGTATAATTTATAATAAGTTCAAAGATGAATAAAAATTAAATTTAAAAAATTTTGACAATTTCTAAAAGTTGTTTAGATTGCAAGAAAATCAACCATCCCAACTACTATTGCGACTGTTCCCCTGATGTGCAATAAAAAAATTGTACTCTAACGGTTACTTAGTATTTAACTCATCTTTCACCGCAAAGTAAATAGAAGGGACAAAAGAAAAGCAAACAAAAAAAAATTGTAATTGACGTATTTGCTCAATGATCAAAACCACAATTACTATTCATATTTATCTTTCTCATCCACATTCTACATTTCCCCATTTTATCAGCGAAACGTGAAGATAATCATTCACATGAAGGATAGTTTTTATTTTCTCCAAATTTTGGGCATGAAACTGTGGAGTTGATAGTTTAATCCCCTGATCTACAAGATTCTACATTTTATACCCAGAGTCTGGCCATCAACTGAATGACTAGGCATTATGTGCAATTTAAAAGAACTGAAATGATTTTTGGTATATTCGTCAGGACTGAGTGGAAAAATAAATTCTAACTTCAATAGATTTTGAAGATCTCAATAACTCATTTCAGAGTTTATTATACACCTTTACTAAATTATATCAAGAGACAGATTGCATACCACATCTTCAGGTAGCCTGAACTGACACAGAGTAAGGCAGCCATTGCGCATCATAGTATCATCATCTCGATGTGCATTCATCCCATTTAGTAAGGTGTAAACCACAAGTCTCTTGAGCGGAGGACTAAATGCATATTTTTCTTTGCCTTTTACAATGTAAAAGAGTGTTGCACTGGGGGAAAAAAAAAGATTATTTACGTAAGCATTTGAAGGGTTTGAAAATATGCAAACAATAATCATAATAAAAGGAGATAACATAGGCCAACAAACTTAACATCTCATTACATAATTTTCTGATACAATATTACAAATTTGCAACTACACACACTTAACACTTAAGAATTAAAAGATCTGAAAAGATTTTTGATAAATATACATTTTTGCATTTGTTATAACTTTTATAACATTTCATTATAATCTAAGTAAATTTTTTTAACATTTAATAGCTTTTTGTGGATGAACATTTAAAAAACATAAAACATTAAGATAAGAATTGTTTAAAGCAATAATGTAAAATACACAATATACTTGAAACTTTTGGTTACAATTAGATTTGATTTATTATTTTGTAAAAAAACTACCAACTGCATGTCAAGTATGGTGAAGGACTACAATCTGTGTATGTCTTACCTGACTTTCAGGCTCCCAACTTTTTACTATAAACAACTGAATGATGAATAAAAGTACTAACACAGTGTGGTTAATAACATTTGAAAACTAGAAATGTTCAGTTCCAAGTATTAGAAAACTTATTTGCTTTAGTAAATGGACAACAGATATGATTTTATAGAATTGCCGAACTCTCAGCACTTCTACTGCATACCACAACCAGCAAAATGACAGCTCAACAAAATGTATGTCAAGTAAACCTATGTTTACACTGTAATTAAAGTCCAAGAAATTAGAAATGAAGTCAAGAAAAGACTTTACAAAAATGCCCAACTTCATTTTTTCAGGTTCCCTAAGTTAAAACAATGTTTGCTACAGCAATACATTCTGCCGGAAAACAACTTGTAGGTTTTCATGAATTACTCTTACTAATAATTTTCAAGAACCTTGCGTATTTCTGCCATCTTTGGATTCCACAACTAAATGTTCAAGATTGTACAGACTATAAATTTAAAAAAGTGAATGTATTTACCTTCCAGAGATCTGAATGTGTTTTTCATTTACATGTCGATCCATTGCTTCAAGCACAATACTCAATGCATTGTTCATATTATGGCAGATTTCGTATCGAAAGAGATGATAAAGATCATTCAGAACTTGTTGTAAAATATCTGTACGATCAATGTAAGCTGCTGCAGCAGTCAAAATCTGTTCTTCATTGGCATTTCCAGAAATCTGTAATGATATCAGATTTAATGCAATTGCATCAGACATTAGGACAAATTGCAGTTGCAAATATCAATATAAAAGAGAACGTTCACATGTGTGTCACAAATAGATGCAAAAACTACTCAACTGATTCTGCTCAAATTTTCACACTATGTTATTATTAATAATGAAAGTGTTTAAAGGGTTGTATGAATTAATCAGACATGTGGGGATGTTTTTGATGATGATTTATTGGTTAATCACTCAAGTGCCCCTGAACACTACACAACCAAGGATTAAGTGTGTCTTCACTGCATACAAGTATTCTGCCCCTGCGATTGTGAAATATCAGTAAGAATTATTACTTGAATCTCGGATAAGTAAAGCAAATTTCTCCAAGATAGTGTTATAGCGAACACATGCCCAAGTTCAATGGAGAACGTTTTAACAATAGGATACTTAACAACCATGTACAAAGCAGAACGTAGGGGCTCCTACTTGTAAGAAAGTCTTTCATTTATTAGAATTTTTGCACAATGAAGTGTAAAACTTGATTATCAATCAAGAGATCCAATAGTGTATGATGTGAAATACACTGCAAATAGTAGTACTGCATATAGCACTGCTAATAGTACATATAAGATGTGTAGTAATACTACTAAATTAGGTATATTACTGTAATTTAGAGTTAAGCATTATGCCTATTAACAAGGTAGAACAGAATGATAACTATATATGCTTATACAAGTATACCATACATTTAGTAAAAGGACCATTAATGACATAAATTAGAATTGCCCAGCTGTGTCATTGATATCATAATCAGTATATCAAGTTAGTAACTGAAAGGAACTGTCAATTTGTTTTCAAATACTGAAAATAAAAAACTATCTACATTAATGTCAGCCAGTTCATCTGAAATAAACAAGGCAACGTATGTAATTTACTCAGGCTGTGATATATTGTATGAAGGATATGATAACAAAAGAGGAAAAAAAGAGAAAAAAATCGAAAGAAAGGAGGAACAAGAGCAGAAAGAAAATTAAAATTTTATAATGTCAGCGCAATCCTCACTTTTCTAGGAGCAGAAAGAAGAGAAAGGGAACTAAAACTAGAAACACAAAAAATAAACATTTCTTAGTCTCTTAGGTGGACAAAAGATTGTACCACAGAAGATAAAATCAAGAAAAAAGCAGTAAAGAACCTCAGATGCAACCAATAACCAAAAAGACTATCCTGCACAAAGAAAAATGGCAAGTAATGTCTTTTTTCTGCAACCCATCTCTAAACAAGAATGAATCCTTTAATTAAAAGATCTGATGAGGACATTGGGACAAGCCCTAGACCTCAACATGCAAGACTAACGAGCCATAATATCTGTAAGAGCAGTAATAAATAATAAAAATGATTTCATTCATATAATAAGCAGAAATAAAATATGTACCAAGAATTATTACTATTTTTATCACCCATACTGACACTTGCAGTTCTTCATTTTCTTGCTATTGAAATTATCATCAAAATTATTACTATAAGCATCTATACTATAATACTGCAATATATGCTTTTATAATTAAAAAATAACAAACTTATGCACAACTCAAAGAACAACACAAACAGATGTTGGGGTTAATAAATGAATGAATAAACATACATTTTCAATCACTAGCTTTGCAATAAAAAACAACTTTCAACAGAAAAAGTAATTTTTACCAGGTAGTGAAATTTATTGCATTTAAGGGTGACAATGGAAATATCAATTAGCTTCCTATCTAAATTATGTATCAAATTAAAATAAATATGCATTTATTTCAAGACAAATTTTACCAATTCTGATTATCACATTTTAAACTTAATTATTTATACATAATAACTTTAAAATAATCAAAATAAATAAAGATTAATAGTTTAATTTAAAAATATGTAGTATTTCACAATTGCATTAATGCATGCTCATCATCAGTTGTTACGACTTTCATAATGAAATATATATTGAACAACAGAGTAGCCAGTGAAATAAATGGTTATGTATCAGCTATTCAGCACCAGTGCCACTTTCAAATTTCTCAAAACATACCAGTTTTGCAGGGATGTGATGTCTTCGACATGCTTCATGGCGTGTACCATACAATCCTAAAAATTCAAAAGGCCTACCCACTCTACAGCTGAGGCCTGGGATGTCTGTCTGAGGCACAGAATCATCACTGTGCTCTTTGCTGTTAGGGCTGTGCTCTGCAACTCCTATTGTAAAAAAAAATTGTAAATAAGACATTATCAGTAAAATGAAAAAAAAATGTCTGAAAATCATAGCTTTCTAAAAAATAATGAAGTATTTTGAACAGATATACCTGTTCCTGCAAGATTGGTACCAGATATATCCAAAGAAGTCAAATTGGGAAGATTTTCAACTAGTCTTGCCAATGTCAAATTCTCATTTCTAAATGTTCCATGTTTTTCACTTGACTGGGAAATATCGAGATGTCTAAAACAGATTTTGCTGTTTATAATCTAAAATATTCATCTACAACATGTTATAAATGAATACTGATACATACCTCAAGCTTGTAAGGGTACACAAAGAATCGATACATTCTTGAAGACGTTGCACATTGAAAAGAATGAGGGAAAGGAGATTCTTTAATTCACAAAGGTATGACAAATCACCCAAATCAGAGCAAGAGGACAAGTCTAGGTATGTGAGATTTGCAAGAGGTTGAAGAAGCAAGGGAAAGTACATTCTCTCACGGTGGACAGAAAGGTTCTTAATTGTAAGTCTGCGCAAATTGGGTGTTCTCAAGATGTATCCTCGTTTGTGGTATGCAGTAACAATTTCTCCTTCTTGCACATGATCTTCCGGTAGGAGTGTACTGGGGAGTAGTTGAACACCTGCGCCAATACTTAAAGATAACAGGTTTTCACCATGTTCGTTGAGATGTACAAGAGAGCCATCTGTTACATTTGCACAATTAGTAAGGTCTATTTCAATTAACTTGTGACTTAAGAGAATGCACAGTCCATCATCTGTGACACTAGAATTTCGTAGCTGAACTCTTCTCAGTCTTGTCATGCTAAGATTTTCAAATATGCCCACAATTCTGTCATCTACATCATGACCACCAGCTTGATAGATCTGAAGCATTTTTTCACAAATTTCACTAGGTAGAGCTAGACCATCTTTGAGTCTGTAATCTTTTGTAAACGGGTCAGTAGTACAAATAATATCTAAATGACAAACCACATATTTGAAGCACAGATCTAACAAAGTATCTGGTGCACTCTCCCTACTCACTGAGGTAAAGGGCAACATTGTTCAAGTTGTCAGAGTCGTTTTCCTCCTATTCTGAAATAAGACACGAAATATTGAATAAAATATTATTGTCATTGTCATAAAGTTTTATATTACAATTCACATACATCATTAATATTATTTTATTTATCATCACAATACATGGATCATGTGTCAAACACATTGTATTACGAGTGTGAAAGTCGGAGATGAGGCTGGAAGCAAAATAATGAAGTTTTAGACTTAATCAGAAAGAACTGTCAACAGCAGCAAATTACAATTAGTACTCAGACATAGGTACAAGTTTTAAGTGAAGAGAAATTATTAACCATCAAGTCTAACGAAGTGTTATGGTATTCAAATTCTAATGTCATACGCCTAACGCAGAAGGTTTAACAATAAAAGGATGTGTGGCACCAAAACATACCAATATTAGGTCTTTAATCCTGTAGTAACGACACAAGTTAGATCTTCTGGCAGAAGCAGTTATATGAATTTCCACGGCATTATTACATAAACAATGAAAACTACTGACGTCAAAGTGTGCGATATTACAACTCCAAAAGATTTTGGACGAAATTACAACTACGTTACGACGCTCTGTCTGGCACTTCACCCAGATGTTTTTGCTTCTCCACTTCTTCACTCTTCTGCGCAGTGCGCATGTCAGCTGTCACGTGAAGAAAAGTGGTGGAAATGGCGGCGTATAAGGCTAGGTTTGTGAATGCCAAAGCTATTTTCAAAATGTGCCATTTGTATTCACGCTTATTGATATTCATTTTATTGTTATAGATTGCAGGAGTTTAGTGACTTGCTTTCTAATGAAGAAATAAATTTGAAAGAGCTGAAAAAGTTGTGTTTCAATGGTTAGTGATGTGCATCTGCTTGGGGCTCCACCCCCTTACCTTGTCATATGTTTGAAAAATTAAATCGTACGTATTTACCTGTCAAAGGGTCATCAGATAGTCCAGCGTACATCTTCGAGGTTAAAAATTGAATATAAAGTTTCTCCATTTTTTTGTTTATTTCATGTATAAATTTGTACATAGTGTGACAAAACTCATTATTCTTATGACCTATACCAATTGCTTAAAAAGAAAATATGGAGTAATTTTTCTGATTAATATCTAAAGGTGCACTTATATGATTTCACGGTGAACGATATTATATTGTAGAAGATTCTGAGAACAATACCAAGGAAAACGTATCACATATTTTGAAAAACATGTAAAAGGTGTTTTGTGAATGCTTTTGTTTTAGAACAGAAAAAGCTTTGGTAAATAACAGAGGAATGAATAATGTTAGATGTAAATAGAATTGCTGTTAATGTATTTTTTCAAGGGTGAAATTAATAATGTCTCAGAAGAATTTTCAAAATGATCTTAAATATCTGTAAATTAGACTTGTGGGCGTTATGTTTCAAAATAATGACTTAACTGTGATTAGTATTGTTTGTGACATTTTTTGTTTAACCCAGTGCCCTAAGTCATTCCTATTATTAATGAAGTCTTATTAAAATTTGAAATTATCTTCAAAATTAAAGAAAGTTAATAACTTTTCATTATTACATGAATAAACCCATTATTAAAATTAATATTAATTATTTGACCTTGAACAAATTCCTCTCTTGGCATGATATGTGTACAACTTAATATTTTGTGTAGGATTGTCTCCTTTCTAATTAATAAATATCCTATTATGCAAGAATAAGGCATTTTGTTGCGCAGACATAATGATTGTGTAATGGAGCACGGGGATGTTCAGTAATAGAGGGAAGAAACATGGAAACATTTTCATTGCTCTTTATATTTTTTGAACAGGAATTCCTGATGAAATGGGCTGGCGCCCACTATGCTGGAAAATACTTCTTAACTATCTTCCTCCAACACGTCGCACCTGGAGTGAAACACTGACCCGCAAACGGGACTTGTATAAACAATTTATTAGTAAGAATGTATTTTTGTAATAATGTTTTCTAGATATAGAGGGTAAATTTATGGAAAGTGCATTCTTACGGAGAACAACTTTTTTGGAAATCAATTTTTTTGTGACAAAATTTTTGTTTGTGACAAATTGTGATTAATAGAATTAAAAAAAAAAAAAGAAAACTAAAAGAAGTTTGTTCACTCAGCATCGTCTTTCTTAATATTTCATAGGATATAATAATACTGATTGTCATGCTTCTGGATGCTATATTAAGGGTTTTTCTCCCTGTCTGGAATGCACTTAGATGGTTTTTATCTTTAAAATAAACATAAATAAATAGTTCTGACTGGCTGCAATTTTTAATTGGAAAATTTTCAACTCTTCTGATGTAAACTTCCTTATTTTACAAGGATGTTGGTTTTTGTTCACAATGAAGTAAACGATTTTCGGAATGATCATTCCCCTGCTTTTAAGAATAACACAGTTAATTTTATCGAACCTTGTATTGTCTTTTCATTGATAACATCTGAAAGTTTTGAATTAAAAAAAAAAAATCAGATAGTGTGTAAATAAGGTTAATTTCAAAGTCGATTTTTAGTTTTAGCCATATCTCTCCCTTTAGTCGATGTTATTATATGTAACTAGTTGCAGTAATTCTCAGATAAATTATATAATGGTTTTAGCCTATTTTATGTTACTACTGATAAAAATATCAGTTATCCAAAGATATTGTGACTATAATTAACTGTCAATCCTAAAGTTATTTCTCCCAAAATATAAGAATGCAGATTCATCATTTATAAAAATTGAAAATATTTCAAATACCTAATTTTGAGTGAAAATTTTAATTTAATTTTTGTGGAGTTCATTGTGAAATTATAAAAATAAACCACTCCTTGACACTTTGAAACATTCATACAAATGTACATAATATGGCAAAATGAATTCCCATGACTAACCTGCAAGAACATTAAGGTTATTGTAACCCTTAAGGGGGTTTTGATTGAGGGAAAAATCCTTGCTTTGGATGCTTTGACTAGAGTTGACAGTTTGAATGATCCTTCCCCAGAGGAAATGATTGTAATGCCTGGAGAATCACAGGATGCAGAGGAAGATGGCAATAGAATTGATGTCACATTTGCAGACCATCCTCTCAATTCCAACCCTGATAGCCAGTGGCAGACGTATTTTAAAGATAATGAAGTGTTGCTGCAAATTGATAAGGATGTAAGGTTGGTTGGTCAGTTGTGATGTATTGTATTCTGTTTTGTTATTTGTCGGGTTAGGTTCATTTTTGTTTGTTGCACTTCATAAATTTCATGTTTTAATGTTAATTTTAGTATTTGTATTGTGTACACATATCGGAATTTGGAAACTTCCAAACTTCATTTTTGATCTCTATGTTACGTATCACAGTATTAATTAATTCACTTTCTTTTTTACTTCTTGCTCATGTGTTTTATTTTATCTGTGAATTTTGTAGGAGATTATGTCCAGACATATCCTTCTTCCAACAAGCTACAGACTTTCCTTGTGCTGAAGTTGTGCACAGTAAAGGATTAAAGAGACTTCACCGCCGTGTACAGCATACTGTGCTCAAATCAGCCAATGTTGAAAGGAAGGGTTTGGGAATAACCAAGGTTTGTACACATTTTGATCTGTTTTTCATTATTTAGTATTCACTTGGTTAATTTCAGTTGTACTGAGATAAGAACATTTTATTTATTCTTTTATCTACTGAATTGAATTGTAGTTTAATGAAGAATTAAATGAGTGAAAGAAGACCATTTTACCTCTTATACATGACACCATTCCATTTCATAAAGAAATTTCAACTTTACCCCCTGAATGATCGGCTGGAACCGTCCCTGCCTTTATGTCTAGCACTAGTATGATAGAACCAGCTGCGTCGTCATTATCGCACACGAGTCACTTAACGCGCGTCGTTGATTAACGCCGAATCTTATATGAAATGGTATACGGGTGCACTTGGCAACTTGCGTTGTGCCCACAGCTCAAGCAAGACTCATAAGCTACAACGTAAGTCAAGATAGCGCACGTCCCTTGAGCTTTCGTGTGCCGTTTCGCATAAGATGCCGTGTTAATCTACGACGCGCGTAATATGACACGTGTGCGGAGACATCGATGCGCGTCAACGCTGCGGACGTCATTAGCGTTAGGTGACGCGTGTCAATCTAATGCTCAGGTAACATAGGGTTAAATGTCATAAATCTTTGATTCCCCAAAGTATCAATATTTCTTTTAAATGCGCCAAATTTTATAGTGCAATGTTAGAGAACATTATGCAAAGCCGCACCGGTCGGCACTGGCGCCCCTGTTTTTTCATCCTGTAGTTTTGTCCAAAATTTCAAAATGGAGGATTGAAATCAATTAAAATCCGTAGCGGCGAAATTACGTATACTGAATTCAATACAATTATTCCTTGGGCTCCTCTACGATAACGTAAACGTTCTCACTTGTTGGTCACAAGTGCCATCACTTGGACGTAATAAAGTGTTAAAAGGACTGATTATGAACGTATAAGCGTGAAGAATATAAACGTGAAGTGCGTGTCTGATATAATTTACCGTAGGAAGTATAGAAATTTATTCGGGACTTTCAAAAAACAACGTATGAACGTGCAAAACGTACAAACGGAGTTTCACTGTAATTGATATGTGTCTTCCTAAGAAGTTGTATTTTGTCAATTACTAGTTGATTATTGCTGTGCTATATCTTTGAAGAATGGAAATTGGATTCAATTTTTAAAAATAATCCAAGATTATTTTATAAATTATCTTGCATTTATTAACTTAAATAATTTTTTCTTGATATTTATTATTCCACTTTTGTTTCATTGCATCCTAGCAGCAGGTGAGTCATTTTATTTACTATAATAATTATTGCATGTTCACATCACATTTATTTTTTATTAGACAACAAACTTGTTCATATACAATGATTATTAATTGTATTTGTTTAAGTGCTGGGTGAGTGTGAACTGAGTTTGTTTTAATTGGTTGTATGAATTTTTTCTTCATTGATGATCATTTAAGTATTATTATATCATTTGCTTTTAATTTATATTTATGCAAATGTATCAACATTTTTTCTTGTTGAAGTTCTACTTTGAAACATAATGAATGGATGGATAGTTAATTATATTTTTTAGATTGAGTTTTATGAACTACATTTCCATTGCAAGAAACTGTTGCTGGGAGAGGGGTGAGGCCACAAAGGCCACTTTCCCCTAAAGTGACAGTTGCATGGACTGTAAAAGGAAATATTGCATGTTTAATTTAATACTACTTGTCAGAAAGTGTAATTTTATACTCAAAATACTATCCAAACATTAACAAATGTAACATCATTGCATTTCTAGTTTTATGATCTACCTATTGCCAGTGAAAAAAATATATTGTTCCATTTAAAAAAAATCAAAGATTAAATTTCTTGAAAATTAAAGTATTTCTAACAATACACATATGCATAAGCATATTACTTGCTCCATGATTCTGCATTCTCCTCTCTCTCCTCTCTCTCCTCTCTCTCTCCTCTCTCTCTCCTCTCTCTCTCCTC